AAAGAACTCGGGATTAGCTGTGGCTGAGTCGGCTAGATCTACCTGGTATTGGAGACGACCAGTCCTGAGATGTCGCTCACACTGGATTTTAAATGCTCGATGAGTGGCTGATGTGTCTGCTTGGTAGGTTGGACATTATCTAGACCGCTTCTTGAGTAGGTACTTGTAGGTAGTATCTATCCATGGAGGCTGTACCCGTATCTATCTTTTCCTCATGAGTGGAATGTAGAAAGCAAAATCTTTCTTAGGTATGCCTTAAATTTATCCCGGGCTGTGGACAGAGTCGGCCATCGAGATTTCACAACTCAGGTTTGAACCCTTAGTTCGCATAACTCGACAAGTATTTGAACGTAATTCAACGGTAGTCTGATGGTGCTTAGAAAGAGCACACCGAAAACATATACATCCGTTATCGCTGGCTCCTAGAAGTGTACCGCAGGAAATGTCACTTGCAAATTCGAGGGATTTGGCGAAAACGATATCTAAAGCAGGCGGTAACTGGGTGTCCATGTATCTAGTGGGTAGGTCCACGAACTGTTGCAACGGCACCTGGAGAGTCAGCTCAAGAAAGTCTGTACTAAACATTCCTGACGTCAAATTGCACGAAAGATTAATTAAATACACCACAAGGATGTTGAAGTCCCCCGGAGCTAGAGAGTTAATTGTAGAATGCGTGCGAACAAAGTTAATAATCTCCCTGGGGTTAATTCCAGGACTTACGTATACCATTACAGCTGTAAACTGGGCAGAGGAGGCGCACACAATGGCCGATAAGGCTTCACAGTCTGATCCAACGACTGAAATGTGCAGTTCCTCAGCACATCTAATATACAGCCCACATGAAGTACAACACTTCCACCTTAACGACGAATGGCTCAATCAGTTCCAAGCAATGCATAAACATTCTTCATCTTCCGTGATATCCAAGGCTAGCCACGTTTCAGTGAAAGCAAGCACGTCGGAATGAGATTTGTCTACAAGTGGATCCAAGTCGCGCATCTCGTTCTTTAGGCTACACACACTTCTGGGAACTAGCTGAAGGAATTCACAGTGACCAGCCTTGGATCAAACGCTACCAGAATGGGCACTGGCAGGGCAGAAATGGACGATCGGCTGATCATCCGAAAATTTGCCCACCGAGACCTTGTCTACTGGCCACTTGTCTGCTGTGGTGGTCACTGATGGACTCCTCTAGCTTCAGCCTATCCGCTAAAGGAATGTATGGCTGAACAAAAACAATAGTGCTCTCTAGTAGAAATGCAGACCGCAACGGCGAGTAGCATTCCTTCGGAGTAGAGAGCATCACACGAAATCAGCGCGGTTGAGGGTCGGATACGCCAATTGGATTAGTCCCCAGCCTAGTCAGCATCCTGATGGTAACAAGGGGAAAATCAAGGCAGAAGAAACTTTGTTACGCACCTTGGATACTAAGGAATGTCGTCCAACATCCAATCAATAGGGAATACGGCAGCGGACTCCACCGCGTAACAGAATATAACGCCACTCTTCATGAAAGAATCACCACGACAAGGTGTGTTTACCTCATGAGACTGTATACAATACTTAGACCAGGTGGCTTCACTGCTGGGGGTGAGACTTCCTTTAGGTTCTCAAACGACGTTTAGAACATAATAGTGCATACCTTTTTGCTCCATTATGGCCATCTTGCTATTTTTCGCATCGTTAAATCCACACGAATGCCTACGGGAAGCTGTAGTCAGCTTTCGCTTCTGGCTAACGGGAGCATGGGCCAGTGACTGTGTGCTGCTTTGAGCAGAACCCGCACCATCGTTGGCAGCCGAGATAACCAGCACCTCCAGCTGACGAGTACTGCGCATGGGAGGTTTTCTCCTCTACACAAACGCCAGTACACTTAAAGAGTGACAACATTTGCTATTTTTTCTGAGATCGAAATATAGCTAGCCTGTGTTTGACTGAATGCTTAGGGAATTTACTAGTTCGCTTTTGCTTTCCTCTAGTGAACTCATGAACCCTCAATTCAGCGTCCTTCATGGCAAAACCAAATAGGTTGGACGAAGCAACTTCCTTCATGTGATCCTTATCCACCGGGACAGTGACACGATGGTTGGTGTCGCAAGTTGATCTTCAACACAATGTTGCGTATTGCAACTGATCGGGTCTGCATCTCTGGAGACCGAAAGTGCCTTCATGATCAAACTTGCGCTGAAGAGTTGCGAGCTTCAAGAATGAATGTTTCACACTTCATGGTCGGACATGGAAAGCTTCGTCTCCATTACGAAGATTCATGCCATCTTTTCGGCGTCTACAGCAACCGACACATCTGGAAAGCAGGCTGCTGGTGGTGTCCAGTACTGCGTGCTCTTTCATGATCAAGCCTGTACAAAACTGATGGTACTAGCGGTTGCAGGCATAGCGCAGCATGCCGCCGGAATCATCAGTTACTTGCATAGTGCAGCTTGAACTGTTATAAACTGAGCTAGCCTAAAAGTCCAAACCCCCAGGAACAAAGACATGGTAGCGGGACCTTGCGAGACTAACATAACGGGAAAAGTGGAAAACAGTGTCGTGATAAAGAACTGTGTGGAACACCGAACAACTTCCTGCACAGCAGTCAACGAAAACAGTAACAGGAGTAAAAAAAGGCGAAACATGGATTGGGGAAACACTAGAACACCAAAAGTGCCAGTCAGGAGCTGACAGTGAAAATCGAAACGCTTCGTATAATACCAAGTTGTCTTGGATCTGAGAAAAAAATTTAGCAGCCATCAAATTCTGTGATACGTGCTTATTCAAACCCTTTTTCATTACGTTTCAGCTAAAATATCTGGTAATTTTTGTACGCCAAAAATAGAGTACCGCGTCAAGATCAGCGGAGCTCGCGGAGCTCCGCGAAACTTACGCAAACTTCGCCCGATCTCAATTTCACAATACTGTCACCATGCCTCGACTCAAACTTCGCCGGTAGCAACCGAGCCATTCACAGAACATTGATGTTATAATGAAAACTAGTCCTAGACTACCGCACCAGGAGAAAAGGATCAATGTCAGATAAAAGATAGGAATACGCTGACATTCAGGTGTGACCGGCTGGACTAACTCCACAGATAGTTCACACTCTCTGACGGAATAGCCGAAAGATGATATTTCACAGTGTTGCTTCCGCGAAGCTCAGATATCCCAGGCACACAGACAAACAAGCTCAACACACTGCCGCTGGAAAGCAGAACGCGCCTTGGGAGGTCGAGAAAAGTGTATCGGAAAAAGCGGTCAATTAAAACAATTACAATACCGATTGCAAAACTAAGTTAAAGCGCGAAAGAATGAAAAATCTATGAACACAACAATGTAACTACTATCTAGAGCCATATTGACTTCAAATAAGTTTTCTCCAAGACACTGCCATTACGCCGTACCTCATGTCCCTTTGCAATATCCACCGTCTTTTATAGTTCATGTATTACGCTGCTGTACTTTTGAGCTATCAATATGAAGGTATAGAGGGTACAATTGGTCTTTGGGTGAGTCAGAATGCGAGCTATTGCGATCTGCCAGCCTCTCTTTTATAGGTCCAGGTCCAGTGGTGCGAGGGTATGCTCTTCGTCTCCGGTCTCAACTTGCAGGTACACAGGTGGCCGCTGGGTGCCTTAGGCCGTACTGATTTGAATTCATTTAGCTACTCTGCGCATGCGTTAGGACTGATGAAGGGCGCTTCGTCCATTCCTACTGGAAGCGGAAACAACTATTACCTGTTATGGCAAGTACCCAGATAACAAACATTCCATCAGCCTACCATATCTTTTCTCAGCCAATTGAATCCATGGCGCTTTGAGATTCCTCCTTAGTAAAACCATGTTCCTCCATTGGTCTCTCAAGATGATTCTTATCGCTTTTAAGTTGTATCCAAGATGTGTAAACCCTCCTAAAATATATGTACCATTCGTTTTGTGGCCAAGCTTAAATAACCAGATATTAAAACAGATGAGTACACGTAGTGGCATGCTAATGACTGGTTTGCGTTTGGTCACCAAGTGGACCGTAGCACTTGGGGGCGTTTGTGCCAGCTGGATTCAAATTGAAAGCGTTAAGGACCACATTGAGAGACCTATGAAGGAACATGATATCCTTAAGGAGAAGTACGAAAGCGCTATGAGTTTAATCGGTTGAGAAATGCTAAAGAGATGTCATTATGGAAATTGAAATCCGGAACATTTTGCACTTATAAAACTTAGGCGAACGTAGGTCACAGCAGACGCGAAGGAACAACGTTCAACGCCGAATTACCAGCTATCGCATGCTTGGCAGTAGATCATTGCTCGAAAGCAGTAGCGTGTTGCCAGTACAAACCGGGTGTGGCATTCCAACAACCGGTGACGCATGGAGGGACTACTTGAGTTTGGAATTATACCAACGATTAACTGATAGGTTTTCAATATTTCAAAGCCCACAGTTGTCCATACCCTCATAGTAGAGGAACATAAGATATTCTGAGCTGACCACAGCAGTGAACTCAACATATGTAAAACACTTCAATAGTTGCAGGTATAGTCCTTCGCATTGGATTAAATGTACTATACCAAGACATGCTCCATCACTGTACCGCGAGTACCGCCCCCCCGGTAAACCAATGGTAAAGGAATGCCTGCGGTGCAAGGTTTGAGGCTCACTCACAAGTAGGAGCACTTAAGTTGTGCTTGCTGGTTCAAATTGGAATCGGTAGCATGAAACAACTAGGAGATGCGTCTGACACATGTATGATGGTTACGTAACCGTTTACGCTTGATACGTCAATAATTCTGAGGTTAGGCAACGCCGTGAATACTATTCGCTCCCACGAGTTGTGAACTTTGTCTACTTACAAGATGTGGGTTCTGGATGAATTGGATCGGGATGAGCCCTTAGTTTATGTTTCAAGAAAACTAACCTGCTTTAGATGTGAAAGAAGTAAACCAACAACTTGCTTTACACACCTGTAGTCTGTAACCAGATGAAAAAGTAGTTTTCATCAGCTGACAGAACATCTATTGTGTATCTGTCCGCCGAAAGCGGATCAAAACAAATACAAAGTAGCCTTCCAAATTCGCCATTTCTAAAATCACGCAAAAGAGTTGAAAGATGAACAGTGAGCATGCACCAAATGCAAGCATAATCCAAAAAGCTGAAAATTTACTTCAATAGGGGCAGAAATGAAAACCTTTGGGAGACCTAGCATTACATTACGGTAGTCTGGGAAATAAGTCTATTGGCCCAATTTTACGGCCAACTGAAAACACTTTAAGGGAAAACGTACAGTATGTAAGAATAATGAAATCACTCATGAAACGTTGAGTACCATAGGTAGGCGAAAAGTGCGCCGGCAACTATCACAGCATATATAAGCCCCTGAATAAAACTTGCTTGGTCGAATGTCGCTTGCATGTTTTTGGCAAATATCTCTCTCTTGTTCAAGTGAGGAAACGGACAACTCTTTGGAGGGACCGGAAAATTTAAAAAACGACAAAGCGGAGTCCATCCATCTTGATATCGAAACACAAGCAGGCGTTCTGGTGGAACAGTGTTCACAACATCTGCGTTCCAACGAGTATAAACCTCCTTCAGTTCCTCGTCCGACATTTCACTGAAATTCGGGCCGAATGTTCGACGAAATAGGGCGAGATGCAGATTTGCTATTCCGTTAATTCCCCTGTACCAATACAACAGTTCTTCACCCAGTGTCGATGGACGCATAAGGTTTCGGGACAGAGTTGTGGCACGACAACTTGCCACCCATTCGTCGGGTTCTCTCACAGTTAGGATAACCTGAAATTGAGTATACAGGTGATTATCTTTCTGATAAACACATGTGGTTGCCGTTAAGCTAATTTGGACTGTAGTTTGCGCATCGATAAATATACTGTTTATTTATCTATTTAAGTGTTCCAGCTCGGAGAAAGGACCGGGGGACTTACGCCATTAAGGTTGAATTGTGGGGTGCTCAGTTAGACATAGAAGACACTCTTGATTCATCAAACAGTAGGGTGAATGGCTAGATGCACGAAATGGAACGCAAATACCTCGCTGACTTCCCCTTTCTATCATGACATAAACGGTCACCACAACTGCGGATGCGGCTGATTTCACTGTTTCGGAGTAGGTAAGAGGGGCATGTCATCTTGATCCGGTACGTTGGACAATTTCTCATGGTGATTCGTTGTTGTCCTTCGTCGAGCTTCACCCATCCAGGTACACTGTCGGTGAACATCGGTAAAATGACCACAAGGCTGGATCGAGTTGATGAGCATTGTCTTCGTGGGTGGAAGTCCTTGACGTGCATCAGTGGCGTGATTTGCACTGTTAGCATTGCCACGTACTCAGGTTAATGCAAAGCAACATAGGCTTGATGTATCTGAATGGGCGACTATGGACACTATGAACAATGATCAGCCTCATTGAGAATGCAAAAGTGCATAAACGGAAAAATATGCCTAGATGCCATTCCATTGGAAAATCACACCACACGACGGTAAGGTTGGTTGGGACAAAAAGTAATTGCGACACGTACCGTAACTTATGGTAATGGTATCACGTAATGTAAGAAATTAAAGCTCTAGATTTAGAGCTTGTCGAAGAAATATATAGAGTTTTGTACATACGATCGCGTTTAGAAAAGCGCACCGACAATGGACTGGACTAGACATTTCATAGTAATCCACTGCATCCGGAAATACGCTTTACCGAGCGGTAAAATGAGGTGTAGCCATTTCGAAATAGTCTGATGGAAATAGCCGAAGGACACTGTAGCTATTGAGAAAGAAAATATGCAATCCAGAACTACAGAAGTAATTCACCTGGTCTGGAGGTATTTTGTGTCCGAGAGCATAAAAACAACCTTTTTACTCCACGAGGAATTTCGTTAGCAAGGAGAAATCAGGACAAGTTTTCAGATGCCGAAGGAACTAGGTGTGACTTCGTTGTTTAGCACAAAGAAAAGAAAATATTGTATCACGAAGCTCGGGAACGTTGAGGGTAAACGACCTGAAAAATGACCACATCACAAACTAATGTAGGTATTTATTCAGCCCTACCTGGGCTGTAGTTTATTTTGCGTTGTAAATCGTTTTTGCTTTATTTCTTAAACGCTATTGATACTGATCACCATAACTCCGATCAGCCCCCCTCCAACGTCAGTTCTGTGCTGGTTATTAGTCAACTGAGTTGATTCACTTAATCGACTGCGCTATCGGAGGAACCACAACAACAAAACAAAATCCGCGGGAAAGTTGAAACTTACCTTAGCTTTGGGATAAAACTCCATGAGATGTTTGTAAAACAAACATGTCGGATAATCCACTGCTGCACCAAATCCGTCGTACAGGGAATCGAAAGTAGCCTTGGTCACTTCGACTTCTGACGAATCAGTCCGTTTCAGTATATCTAGCCATGATTTGATGTGTGCTTTCCGACGCTTGAAGAATATCTCGGCCATGTGGTAGCAGGGTTTTTCGTACAGCGTTTCCAAGGCACACTTTAAACTCCACGTCCCCGTTCGCATGAGGCCAGCTCCAATGACGGCGATTTCATTGCGGCCCTTAGTTGCTTGGCTCCTAGTCCCAATAGATTGGGATAACTTCTCTTCTGAACGAACCTGTGGGACTTGAAAACAAGTTACAAAATAAGCACGGATTTCAAGTCGATGATAAGCCTTGCTGAGGAGTATCTATTTCCCTTTACTATAGCAAAATGCTTCTTGAGGCACCATACTGTATATGAGGAAATGATACTAACGCATTCTCACCTGAAACCATAATCCCAACTAAAATTTACACTTGGCTAGAGACGGTGAACCTGTAAAAATTAGGGTTCCAGTACTTCGTAACAAATGACTGTGTTTTTCCTTCATGATTCGTCATGTATCTGGTCACACGTACCCTTCGGTCACTTGCTCCTTCTGTGGACTGAGTTTAACATGGCTCTAGGCACTTGCCTGACTGCCATTCACTCGTTGAAACTTCGAATGTACCACATCTTGGTCCGATGTTCATGCATTCTAACACGTATTGCTCCAGTAGACATAAGTCATACGTGTTAGTACGGCTACTTGTTATAGGAACCACCCAGCATAGGTGTTACGCGGTATCCACCGGGCTCATTCAATATTTACGGAGTTTGCTAAACGAAGACTTGTGCTGGAGATTGGGACTGTAAACCATCTCCTATTACCGAGTACGAGTCGATCCCAGTATGGCCTACTGTGTTTTACGCTTCGGCGCTTTTACCTGCTGATTCCACTGCTCCACTTGCGAACACCATGCAGCACACGCGGATACGAGCAGAAGCGTACGGAGAGTGGCGCAGTCTGTCAGAGCTTGATGTAGAAGCTAAACCTGTGCAGCAGTTCAAAACATCGCTGGATTTACATTTCACCATTCGATTCAGAGAATGGCTGCTCGCTGGCAATGGCGTCTCACAGTTGTGAATCATGGGTTACTATGAGTCAGACCTTTTTAAATGCCATCTTTGAACTCGAAGGACGGTTAGGGCATTATCAGATGACAGATGTTGTTTTAGCACTCTTGATCATACATCGATAAGTTGTACAAATGTAACTTCCTACTTGCTCTCATAATAGAACATCGATTTCAGTGTGTCAACGAGTAGCTGATCATTGGCACAAGATGAGCAGAATAGGCACGATACACATCGCCACAATAATGAAAACTAAACACAGGAAGGTAGGGTGGAAAATAAACGAAATAAATTACATTATGAAACATAGCAGAAAGTTAGCTGTTTCTGACTGGATCAACATCAGCCAACAGAAAGAAATGGAATACAAAACTGACGCTGAACTTACCACTGCCTTACGCGGACGACTCTCTTGTCCATGCCCAGGATAGAGACACGTGCCACCGCAACGTACTGCCTAGGTTTGCTGCAGTAGATCCACTTAGCAAGTCGCTGTTTAACAGTCTTAATGTTTGGCTCAACTAGTCGCCTCCGAATCAATTCGCACACATCGAGCTAATCGGTTTGCATGCATGGGAGCGACGTGATCGAGGTGACTTAACCTGTGGAGGATTAGCTGGTATTCCAGCTGAACACCAACCAGCAGACAGCAGGATTACTTACTAGGTGATCCCATAGAGACATGGTGCCACTCGTGAAAGATGAACCTCTCGGCTAAAAATAAGGCATCATGTCTTACGGCTAGTCCATCCCCGAAAGTTCCATTGCACTCAACATTGAACATGTCTCTATACCAGTGGTTCTCAATCTGTGGACAAGTACCCCCAAGGTGGTAAAATGGAATTTTACGGGGAGGGGGGTAAATATAGGTACGAATATTGGGTCACCAGTCAATCGCCAAACAAAATTAATAAAAATATCAGCACTAGCAAAACATGTAACTAATTATCGAATCACTGTTCATTAGCCAACAGTGATTAATCCTTAGTGAGTGATCAGTGAATTAGACAATTTTCGGTACCAAACTGTATTGCCTAAAATACGAATGCAAGCCTGCAAAGCAACGCAGTCAGATGGTGTCTTTAATGGTTCGCTCGCCGATGGTTGTTCTTATGAGTCAGGCAGACGTTCGCTGGGTCGCATTACAGAGTTGAGTAAGCACTAAGGTGGGAGCATAGGTCAGCCGACCAGGTAAAAGAACGAGCGATGTTGACAATTTAGAAGGGAAAAAACAGGTGTTCGGGATCTATCGATACAGTGGTGATGTAAGCTGTCATCCAGGCAGGATTTGGGAGGAATAGTTGAAACGAAGGAGAAACCAGTGACATCTGTTCACGTTTGATCAGGGATCACATACAAAAGGGTCCTAAGATGAACAATGAACAAGGATTTATCACGGGTAAAAAAACATGCGTTTGACAAGTCCCGTGAGATGGTCGGAAGGAAAATTAAAAGGATTAAGGAATAAATGAATCGTTATTCTAAGCGTCTACCGATATAAATGCATTGGCATGACCAAACGTTACCGACATTTATGTTTCGTCACAGACACGTTGCTATATATGTAATCGGCATTGGTCGAAAGACGTACAGGCTGCGGTAATTGAGGAAGTAAACACGAGAAATAAACTCAGCAATGCATGACGATATTCTGGGTTCAAGTGAGCATAGTGCAAACAGTCAAGACACTATAAGTGTGTGGGAATGCGGTATATGTAGACAGAGAGGGTCTTATTCTTGTACGTGTCAAGAAAAGATTGATCTATGACTCTAGTGGACTTGCCAGTATGTAGTTGTGGGCAGTGCCTTTATTCAGTGGCGAGTCATCTCCGCCACGTCGCAGTGTTGTTAAAGGGACATTTGTGACTTTTTATAGGGAGAACGCTTGCCACGCGTAAACCCACCTCGTTCTGGAACGCTGCCATAGATCCGGTTGAACATTAATGTACAACTGGCAAAGCAGCTTGCCGACTGATTTCACACTCGGTTATTCGCAGTGAAATTTCCTCTGTTGGCTGATCAGGTGGCTAGGTCACGGCCGCCATGAGCGCTGAGGCCAGTCGAGGGTAAAACTTGTGGTCTAAGTAGCTTTGGAAGAAACAAGCCAATGGCTCTACTAGTTGATTTGGTGCTGCTCCCAGTGCCTCTGGGCGAATAGTATCGACACCCGGGGGTTTGTACTTGAGTAGAGTGGTCAGGTTCTGCAAGACTGCAACAGTGGTAATGGAGATCTGAATGAGTCGCGGCGGCGTGGCGACAAAAGCTGGAGGATCTTCTGATGGTAATATCCACTGGAAGTTGGGGGCGTATTGCATCCGTGGCGTGTTTGCTAGTTCCGTAACAATAGAAAAATTGGAACAACGGTTTTATAAGGTAGAATGGTCATGGTGAAAATATAACTTATAAAAGAATCTTAGCAGAATTGGGTTTTCCCCGGTGAACACATTGATGTATACTTGTATAAGCTGTAAATCCAAAAGGAAAATCCATAGGGAATGACGGCAAATGGGATGTTTGTAAAAATCGTGTCTCCCCCTGTTGTAAACCAACAGGATGTAAAAAAGGTGGAACGAAATCTGGGATTTGACCTTCACTGAAATCACTTACAGACACTTGTGTTCATACATGAGTAACGGGTCATGGAAGATGGTGCAGATAATACTAAGTGCATGGTCAACTCGGGCCCTGAACTGAGCCCGCGTGGGAGCACATAAGAACAGTTTCCTGTAGGTCATTCCACCCTCTGCAAACAGGTACGGAAAAGAAATTCCGACGACGTTCCAAACGACTGTGCTGCTGTGCTGGTTTGTGATGTTGGTCTCCCATACTGTTGTTGTGTCTGAGCTCTAGCAAGTAGCGTCACGTGTGGTTGGGCTCTTTCAAAATCTGGTAAGTTAAAATGAGGTCCCCGCGCAATCGCCGATACTGTCCGCTGAAGGCCCGAGCACTTGTAGGCATCGTTCATACGGCAAATCATACATATCCTTGATATTTTTGGTTGCCCAGAGTTGAGGTATCTCCAAGGTAGAGAGATCTCTACTCAGCCATGGCTGCCAGACCTGCATTTCGTATTTCACATGTGATCGTATGTAGGAGCCGAGAAGTGGTGATAAAACCGAAGGGTTTAGTCGTTCGAATGTACGTTTCAGGAGGCCCACGTGTTGGATGCTCCGCCCTGACGCCGTTTCAGCCTGATTCGAACATCCGAGGTCGATCTGGACCTGAAATCCTAGATCCTTCTCGCCAGAACATGTTTGAACATCCCGGTTGCCGAGTTGGTAGGAGTGCACCAACTTGTGCCGTAGGTGCAGTACTCTACATTTCTCCACATTGAATCGAACTGGATTCAGGAGTGACCACGCGTATACCCTATCCAGATCAGCTTGAAGTACTCTGATGTCATCTGGTGTATTAATCGCCCTCTACACTTTGATGTCCTTAGTATTATGGCGGCAGTTTGAGTTTACGACGCCTGTGATATCGTTAATATAAGTCAAAATAATCGCGGTCTAAGTACCGATTCCTGCGGCATTCCGCATTCAACTCGGATGGGAACTGACAACGATTCGAGCAATCGTACTTCCAGGTGGCCGTGTAGATAAAATCTCCTAATCCATCCTAGGAGGGCATCCTCAATTCCAGAGGTCTGGAATTTGAAGAGCAGCATGTTATGGTCTAACCGGTCGAACGAGTTTGAGAAGTCGAGAAAGACTACGTCAACACCTTTGCCAAAGTCTACTGCTTCAGTAAAGCTGGTTCATGCTGGTAGTAGACTTTTAGTGCATGATCGACTTCGCCGGAAGCAAGGTAGTTAAATTCTTCTAAGTAGGCCGTTAGCGCATCAGCAATAATAGGTTCCATGATCTTTGAAATAACCGGTAGCAAGGTTATGGGACGTTAGTTGGCTGGATTGGATTATTTCCCTCTATCCTCTCTCCATCTTCTCGCAGCGTTGTCACTGTACGCTCATTCGAACCGGATTTACCAGCTCTACACAGCTTGTATATATTTAGGCTGACCAGCCTCTTTGGATTTATACCCCAAATTCACGGTCGTAAATCTGTGCGAACCGGTGAGTACTCCATTTTTATTTGCTACCATCACCAACGATAACAATTTCTTAGCCAGTTTTGCGTCGTACCACTTTATCCCCCTAAAACTGTTATACTTCTACCTTTTATCTCACTGACACTCC